AACACCTGATAATAAATATAAAGTCATTTATCAATAGGGACACTTTTAAAAAAAATGTAATGATTATATCCTAAAAGACTAAAAATGCCTTATATTTGTGAACATATAACTTCTCAAAAAATGTCTTATATTTTTTAATAAAAGGAGTAACTAATAATCATTTTTTATCATTGTATCTAAATATAAAATAATGTTATTTTTTATAAATCTCTACAAAATAATTTTTTTAAAAAATCTTTAAATTATGTAAGAATAATTTATTATTTAATCTTAAACAAACGGTCTCATTATCAGCTTCACAAAAAAAGTAACACCTTGTGCTTTTTTGGCCCAAAGTTCCATAATTATGGATGGTTCTTGCACTTTTTTTTTCCTTTTTTCTTACTACTTACTCCTATTACTTATGCGTACAAAAATTTAATTTTTTATAGGAAAGTTTTATTTTCATAAGCCACCTCATTACAAAATAAATATATTACGTAAAAATACATTGATAAGAATAAGAGGTGTTTAATTGTTTCTTTTAATACAAGGCCATGAAAAAACAATACAACAAGATCAAAATTAAAAAAATAGGTCATGTCAAAAGCCAAAAAGGTTCTATAATCTATTTGGTGATTTGTCAAAAAAAGTAATATTAAAATGATCTCTTGAAGCCTTATGGGCTAGAAAGATCGACGCAACAAGTATTCAATTTTTTTGTTTGGGAGAATTATACTATAAGCTCCAAAATCAACATTTTTGTATTAAAGGCCTAATAGAATATGAAATAATTTTACAAACCTTAAGACCTCTCTTATAATTAACTTTTTCAGTGAGAATATGTAATTACTTTTACGTGAGTAAATGGATCTTTTGATAACAGTAAATGGTATTTGACTGTTATTTATGGAAGTTTTATTGTTAATTTTATCTGAATAACTTGTAAATATGCTCTCCTTCGACAAGAATAAACCACGTGGACTATATGAAATAAATAGATTTTTTGTTATAAATAAATGAATTTTGAATGTTATTTATATAGTTTTTGTTATAAATTTTATTTGAATAATTTATAAATTTTTCTCATTCAACAAGTGTAAATTACATAGATCATGTGAAATGAACGTCTTTTGTCATTAATAAATATATTTTGAATGTTATTCATGAAGTTTTTATTGTAAATATTATTTGAATAACTTGCAAATTTTCTCTCACTCAAATGTAAATCACGTGAATTATATAAAATAAATAGACATTTTATTGTTAATAAATAAATTTTAAATATTATTTATAGATTTTTTTTGTGTTTTACAAAAAAAAAACAATTTCATCTTTTCACTAAAAAATTTAATTGCAAGGAAAATTTTTGGTTTTGCAAAATTATTTCAGACTCTACTGACCCTTCATACAAATATGTTAGTTTTGGGAGCATGCAGGGCAATTCGTTCTCTCTGGGCTTTTTTTTTTTTATTGGGTTATCAAGGTTCCAGATAACGCAGCAGTGATGCGACAGCAAGCGGGCGGCTGTGTGATCGAATGACCCAATTTTTATTTTTACTTTTTTTTGTCAAGCGAAGAAAAGAATAAAAACGACAAATCTGGTGGATAGAATTAGGGCGGATCCTACGTGGCTTCCTCATTTAGCCGGCTACAATTGTCAGGCCGCATGTAAAAAAAAAAATAATAATAATCAATATAGGTTCAGGGGAAGGAAATAATTTTTCACACTGTGGGGAATTATTATACAAATTTTTATTAAGAAAAATACTTATCTTTAATGCCTAATGGTACTTCGAATATGATTACTTTTATTAGCAAGACACTTACGTGCAATTAAAAGAGAGAATAAGAATTCAAGAATAAATTGAAAATTTTAATGTCAAGCATGGATTCATTAGCTGTTAAGATTGTTTTTGAAAAAAAAAAAAAATAGGTGGTAGAAATTGAAACTTTAGGTTGACCGTTTAATACTAGTTCCCTAATAAGTTTATAAACAGTTCATTTAGATAATGCTTGGATTTGACAGATTTTGATTATCTAACATTTTAAATTTTACATTTAAAATTTATTTATTTAAAATTATTTATTTGGATAGTTTAATAAATTTTAAGTAAAAAAAAAAAGATAAGTTGGCATTCAAAACGGAAATGAAAAAATGAAAGTAATAATCAATGAGTTTATTTATATTTTTTAATGGGTAAGAGATGAGAATGAAAGATAAAAAAAATATCAAAATCATAAAGGCATAAATAACGAAAATATAAAAAGAATGATATGTTTAAAATAACTGAAATTTTAAATGATTAGAATATAGAGTGAATTTAGAAAAATTGTTACAAATATTTATTAAAATGTTAATTTTATTTTTAAAAAAATAAAATACCTTAAAATTTTGTTAGCTTAAAATTTTACGGGGCTTAAAACCTTATAAAATGAGCGACGACTGTGAGTGATGGAGTTTAGGCTCATATGAGCTTACTAAATAACTTTTTATAAAAAATTTTAAAGAAAAAGTAAATACTACCACATCAATTTTCTCTGCACGTGCCAGAGGCCTTTGATTGTTTCACCGTTCGCTTTTCCTGCCTGACACGTGTCCCGGGACACACTCTGCCTTGGCCTTATGAATTCTGATAACGTAACCAAGGGGTAACCTCACCTTCCGTGTTACTGTACTTTTTCTTTTTTACCAGAAAATCCAGATACGTCTCGCCCAATATTTATTAGAATGAGCAACACTGAAACTAACAATGTTTAATTTATAGCCTTCTTAATTGACCTGGTTGCATCTCAATTCAGAATGGATCCTGTCTTAATCCAAAAAAAGTTTGAAATTGAAATTTTTTGAGACGGGATAAGAAATAAATTTGGAGTAAGTCCTATTTCATCCTGAATATTTTATATACATATAAATATATGTGTGTGTGTTATTTTTATTTAAAAAATATATATTAAATATAATAATTATATTAATATAATTTATGTTTATATTAATTATAATTTTAATATGTGTAATTCTTATTTAAAATTAAAATTTTTGATATTGATATATCAATGACACAGAGTAAATAATACATGATAATATAGTTCTTTATAATATATTAATTATATTAATATTAATTTATTTTTATATTTATATATTTAATAAATTTCTTTTATATTGTATTCTTGTCTTATTTTCAAAACAATAACTAATTTAACATATCTCAACTAAATAAGAAAATCACTAATTTATATTGTGCTTGGCTTGTTTATTATTATTACTTTTATAATTTAGAGATTATTTGTAATTGCTATTATAATATGTTATACATTTGTAATTATAATTGATATAATTTAATAATTAACTTTAAATTGTTATGATTTATGTACTCGTGTTATTTTTATTTTAAATTTAATAAATTATGTGATTTAAAATGTTCATGAATGTCACTATCTTGATCTTTCTCATATATTATCCGCCTTGAAATGTTGAGATGTCATGATCTCCTCGTAGTCCCATTTCAATTTCTAATGGGACAGGACGAGATATGTGATAACAATTTAATTTCAATTATTTTTTAGAATGAGACATGAGACACTCACCTCGTGAACATCCCTAACTAAAATTTACAAGTTTTGTATAAAATATGGCACTACATTCTATTGTAAATTTTGCCCAAAAAAGATGGAGAGAGAGAGAGAGAGTCAATTTTAACATTTTATACCAGTAATTTATTATGTCAAATTATCAATATCTATATTGAATCAAATATTTTAAAATTTAAATGTAAAAAATTTCAATTCAAAACATCTGAAATTATTATTATAAATTTTTTAATGTCACATTTTAAAAATATCTAATACTACATCCATTAGTAATAACCATTTTTCAAATTTTTAACATTAAAAATAACTATTTTCAATTTTATAACATTAATTTTATCAATATTTGAATTAAATTCGAACTCATGTTTCTCAAAGTAAAATGCTGTAGCAAAAAATAAGTTAACAACATGTTTTCTATATTAATATATTAAAAAAAGCCATGTTTGGGATCCATCCACAGTCCAATAATCAATTAAAAAAATATTCTTTTTAATCTTATTTATAAATTACTTGTAGTATATTTCATTGAAATTAAAAAAAATTAAACTTCATTAATTCTATCTTAAAATTTAATAATTTGTTACTTTTACCCTTATTAAAAAAACAACTATTTTTAATAATTTTTTTTGCATTTAATAAGAACAAAAAAAAAAGAATGAATATAAAAATAATTACTAGTAAAATGTTCTATAAATAGAATTAAAACTAATACCCTCTCTACCTATAAATAAGGCTAGAGGAGTAATTCAAGTTAATAAAGAGTTAATCCATAATTAATAATGTGATCAACTTAAATTTCATTATTTATGTGAATTGGTGAGTGATTTATAAATAATTTTATAAATGTTATTTAAATTTGGAGACATATTTTGATTTTGGTGAATTTTCAAAACACAACTTATCTAAAGTTTATTCATTATAAAAATGTCATTGTGGAATAAACTTAATAGTTAATAAACATAATAAAAAATTATAATTTTCCATCATTTTTAAGGTTTATGTTGATTCTCAAACTTGTGCGTTGACGCTCGTGCGGACCATAGAACCCCTATTTTTTTCAAGTAATTGGTCATCTTCGCATAATAACTTGTGTTCTGTAACTTATGAAAAATTGCCTATATCTCTTGAAGTTGAGACTCTCTCAAATCTTTGGTAAAAAAATTGACAAGCGTAATTCTTTTGAGCCGAAAATAGGGTTTATTATTATTATTATTATTATTATTATTATTAATGAAAGATTATTAACCGTGTCAAGAATGGAAGGTTGTAGCAGGATGAAGAAATCAAAGTGCTGGGTGATGTTAACAAAGGGCGGTGCCAGCATGTCGTCCTTGGAAAAGAAGTTTTCGCCTTAGGAAGAGAGTTTAGAGCATCCACAGTGGGCGGTGCTGCTCTCTTTCGTCTATTGGCTTTCGAGCTTCACTGCTCTGCTTCACCCCCCCCCCCCCTGGCGTTTCTTTTTTCTAACCATTTTTCCCTTTCAGTTATATAATATTTTATTCATTTTTTATTCCAGCTTTCAACCAATTTCTCGTTTCTGAAGCTTGAAATTCCTCAACCTTGCAATTAGGGAATTGGTATGGAGTGATCGTTCAAAAGGCTTAAAGCTAACCCAAAAAAAGATATAAAGCAGTCCATGAAAAAGATGACGGCAGTAAAATACGTTGGGTAGTATTTGATCTTCCAGGGATTTCGTTTCTCCATTGAAATGCTGAAGCTCTTCAGGGCTTACCAGTGCATCTTTGGCTTCTTCCTCGTCTTCTCTGTCGTTGCTTCCATCTTCAGAAGTACGTTTTTTCTTTTTTCTTTAGCTGTAATTTTCATTCTATTGAACCTCGTAATCTTTTCTTTGCCGTTTATCAAATTCACTAGTGTTGGTCTAAAGTAAATTTTCTTCAATTATGAAATCTTGCTGGTACATAGATTCTTTTGGGTTTCATTTATTTTAACCATGTTTAAAACTGCCTAAGTGCGGTAGAAGAGTTTCTAGTCGTAAGATCTGAGAGCGTGGTTAAGTTTCGTTGTTTGCGAGCTTAATTATGACGCCCAAAATAGTTGCAGACTAGGAATAACGTGAAATTAATTGATCTGAGAGCAGGGTTTCTTGACGTTTTTTTTTTTTGGGTCTTTTTCTGTGTTTTTGTTTTTTTTTTTTTTGTTGAAGAGGGTGGTGGTATGGTTCTGAACATGCCAATATTAATTTTTGCTTATTTTCTTCGATGCCATTTATTTGTTTTGGCTTTTGAAATCTAGTGAAGTGCTGAGTTAATTGGCCTTTTAAGTTTTGCTGGTTGCAGGATAGTTTATGATCCACTAATAGTTCTATCTACGGCTGGTCGTATTCCACTCTCATATTTAATTTGCATCGTAAGTTTCACTGCCATCCCTGGTCTGTTTATTATCCATTGACGGGGTTGATGTTTTATGGTACAAGTTAAGAATGTTCTGATATCAATCAAGTGAATGATCAATTGCCCTCAAAAGTGAAGTCTCCTAGAGAGTTATATAGGACCATCTACAATCTTTTTTGACATGGAAATGGAGTTTTGATCTGTACTTTACAGAAAGATAAAAAGTTAACTCGAACTGCATATCATACTGTTCTTTTATTAGCACGCAGCAGACGCTAGCTGCATCAATAACAATGAAAAAATGTCTGTTGTTAGGTTTCCTAAGATTTGTATCATTCATTATTTCACTTTTCGATTTCTTTATTATATATAGAAGATATTCCAAAAGTTTTTCTTCTTTTAGCCTTTTATGGTCAACTTCTGTAGGCTATGTTTGTTTCTTCAGCTGAGACTGAAAAGGCCTCAAACCTTGCTTTGCTTCTCATCTGCATCCCCTTCCGTATCACCTGTTCACTTTCAATGTTCCATTTGTAGTTGAATTTGAATCTGAAACAAGATGGCAGCCAAGCTTGTGAAAGCTGCTACAAGTGAAAAACTGGTTGAAACTGATTGGATGAAAAATATTGAAATATGTGAAATAGTTGCTCACGATCAAAGGTACCCCTCTTGCTTCTAACTCTTTTTATGTCATTGTTTCCTTATGATTGATAACCGTCCTAGAACATTTCTAAGAGAAAACATCAGTCGATATATGCCCATGAAGTTATTCTCAATAGTATTGTATGAAAGTATAAACCTGGATCATTACATTGTTCAATACGACTCTTTACTGTTTGGCTTTTTCTACTTAATAATTTCCCATGAAATGTATTCATGCTAAAATTGATTGCTGGTCTTTTGGGATTCATTCAGTTTCATCTTGACTGCATTGGTTGTCAAAGTCTTGGTTAAGTGGTGAAAATATGGTATATTGATGCCTAACATACCTTATTTTCAATTCTAATAATGTCCACCACTGTGGTCATCCCTGGATTGATTCTTGATACTGGACGACTTTTGTCTGGATTTTGAAATTCAGAACATCGATGAGCATGTTGATTTGCCGGAATAATTTTTGTAACAATGTTTCAACCATTGTATATTTTTGCAGGCAAGCTAAAGATGTTGTTAAAGCTATTAAAAAAAGACTTTCAAGCAAAAATCCCAATAGTCAACTTTATTCAGTCATGGTGAGCATAATGACTTTGTTAGACATTTGGCATAATGTAAATTTTGATGACGAACCTGATACTACCTATACCTCAAACAATAAGCATCATGTAATTTTATTTAGCCAAATTGCTTTCCTGTTCTATGATATCCTACTAAATCATCTGTTCATATGTTGATTTTTTAGTTGTTGGAAATGTTGATGAACAATATTGGGGATCCTATTCATAAGCTTGTGGTTGATACGGGAATTATTCCTATTCTAGTGAATATTGTGAAGAAAAAGGTGATTTTTTTTTTTCCCTTTAACATAGATTCGGCTCTGAGGAGTGTTTTGTTTTGGCTGACCTCAATATTTTTGGCATTTTCTTTGCTTGCAGTCAGATTTGCCTGCTAGAGAGAGGATCTTTCTCCTTCTAGATGCTACACAAACATCCCTTGGTGGCGCTTCTGGAAAGTTTCCCCAGTATTATAATGCCTATTATGAATTAGTGGTAGGTGCAAATATGTGAAGTTGCCAGGTTAACTTATTCGTATGAATTGATTAATCTAGAATTATTTGATTTATTTTTGGTGGCTGGGCTAGTGTCTTGGTTTAGTAAGAAAGGAGAGAATTCTTTAAGCGCCATGATGTTGAAAATCTTAGTGACTTGATATGGCTTTTGGTTTTTACTGGACGACTGCATAGGTTGTTAAAGCTTGTTTAGCATGCCTTAATCACAAAGTCCAAAACTGCTATCTCATGGAGAAGTATTTTTAATTTTGTATTTGAACAGAATTGATTATTGCCGCACAAGATATTTTGATCTTGATTTTTGTATTTTTGTTGTAATTCTTAGAGGCCCCTTTTTATTTTTTTATTTTTTGCTTCTTACTTTCTAACAGATATTTGCCACCCACATGAAAGATGGCTTTCACCTTCATATATCCCTTCTTTGTGATACAACTGATTGTATTAACTTGTTTTGGGCTTTTTGTTCATGCAAAATCATTGCTGGTTCTCTGAAGTGTTTTAACTGCAATATATTTATATTTTGTATAGAGTGCTGGTGTGCAATTTCCTCAAAGGGATCGTGTGGTGAAATCAAATCATCCTAGCTCACAACCGACTAAGATTAGTAACGTACTGAACAGGGAGTGGGGCTCACCTAGGGAAGAGGGAGTTGCTCAGCAAGTAGAGTCACAAGCGGTTCCTGAATCTAGGTGATTTTTGCTATCTAGTTCTAGTATAATATGACAACATATTCAGTAACCGTTTTATAGCAATCTCATTTTCCATACACTATATAGCGAACTTGCATTTGGTCAATAATAGAGCCCTCAACGTTCCTGACCCATTGTTTTGAATTGGATAATTATGAAAGAATTTTTATTGCTGTAGAAATTATGATGGTAAGAATCAGGAAAGCTTCCTACTTTGAGGCCAAGTGAAAAGATTGAAAAGAGAACAACATATGTGGGGAGCAAAGGTGGACATGTTATGTTTCGAATTTGATAAAGATTGAAAAATGCCAAAATTTAATTTTGGGTGGATTCCTTTTCTCTTTCTTGTGGATTTTGGTGAAATCTAGGAGGAATTGAATTGTGATCTGGGGACCTCTATAGGGAACTGGGAACTGTTGGAGAAATACCCTTCTAGAAAGTTTGTTCTTATTGCCATTTTCTTCTGGCAAAGTACATGACTTAATTCAACGCACGTCTTGCAGTATTATTCAAAAGGCGAGTAATGCATTAGAGGTTCTGAAAGAAGTCCTTGATGCTGTTGATGCTCAGCATCCTGAGGTATGCCAATGATCTGTCACTCCCGAGAATTTGTCATACATGTGCACTTGTTCTGTAAGTTTATTATAATGACTTCAGCCATGCCTTTGTCATCTTCTTTCTTTTTCCTTCTTGATGCTGATGCTATTATATCCAGCAGTTTCTCCATGGGAATGCAATGAAATACTTAGCTTGTGCCAAAATTTGTAGGCACAAGGCAGAAAACATGATTACAGGCCGTCTAAGATACTGAGATAGCTGCCTTGTCCAGAAGTGTCTCAAAGTGTAGCTGTTTTATTTTTAACATCTTCTCGTGTAGCAATGATGCTAAAACTATTTTCTTTTTCTTTCTTTCTTTTCTTTTTAATTTCTTTCAGGGAGCAAGGGATGAGTTCACCCTTGACCTTGTAGAACAATGTTCATTTCAGAAGCAAAGGTTAATGCATCTTGTGATGACTTCTCGGTGAGGACACAAGGCTGCCTTAAATTTCTCATTTCTGCTTTTGGCCTATATAGAGAGAGGCTTAGGTTTATGACCTGTATGCCACGGATCATTGGTATTAATTCTGAGGAAGAAAACATTGCTATTTGCCCGTTTCATTGAATTATAGTTATTTATAACTTGAACTGCTTTTGTCCCTTGTTTCTTTGGTAGAGATGAGAAGATAATTTCTCAAGCGATTGAATTAAATGAGAAGCTTCATAAAGTTCTTGCAAGACATGATGACCTTCTTTCTGGTGGGGCTACAGCAACTGCTAATTGTTTGGGCCATGAAGAACCAGAGGAAGAGGAGGCTGAACAACTGTTTCTTAGGTGCCTTGCTTGTTCAATTCCCCTGGCATTATTTGATTTCGAATGTCCCTTTATCTCTGATTATGTCTGGCAGATTACGGAAAGGGAAGGCTTGTGTAAGGGCTGAAGATGAAGAGACTGCACCCCATTTTCCGCACTTGGGTTTGCTTGGAGAAAGACTGAATCGTCCACTAATAAGACCACTCTCTCTGGAGCCTTCACGAGAAGTTAGTCCTCGTTCTCTTGCTGCTACAATTCCGCCTCCTCATGGAAAGGGCGTTGACAGAGAGCCGCCTCTTGTTGCCATTCCACCACCACCTGCAAAGCATGTTGAGCGTGAGAGATTTTTTCAGGAAAAGAAAACGGATGGTTCTCCTCTGGCTGGGCACATGAGGGGCCTCTCTTTACATAGTTTAAATGGAAGCAGCTCTCACAGTGGAAGCTTTGATTCCAGTGACTAGACTTCTGGAAGGGCTTCTTTTGAATTTTATACATCCCTACTTTATCTTTTAATTTATCTTTTCAGTGTCGAGTTTCAGTTTTATGCTGTGAGATTTGAGGATGCTGATTTCTGATTTAGTCTTGGTGGGTTATGTTATAAGGAGGGAGGGACATATCCTCTTGGGTTCATAAAATGGATGTGGTGGTTTTTTGAGATCATATGTCATGACCTGAGATTTGTAATTATTGCTAATAGATGCATGTTTGATCAAGGCCATTTATTTTCTGATTTGTTGGCATCTGTGACCCCAAAAAAAAAAAATCCTTTGCTCATAAAAAAACCAAAAAAAAAAAAAATCCTTCCTAATTATTCGTGCAAAGTCATGCCATCTAGTAGGGTTTGCCTTAGTCTGGATGCTTTTTGGTTGTGTTTGGTTTGAATCGAGTTTGTGTGAATGCTTTTTTTTTTTTTTCTCTTTTTTTTGTGTGGGAAAATTTCAGGGAGAATGTCTTGGTCCAATTTAATTTCAGTGAAAGTTCCTAAAATTCTAAATTTTCATTGTATGTGGGGGATGAAAGTAAAGTTAAAAAGTTAACTGAGATGACTTTAGAAATCAATAGGCTACATGTGGAAAATTAAACAAGTGATGTAGGTAAAATTTAAAACAGCACAATATTTATGAATATAAATAAGTGATGTTAAACATATAAATAATAAATAAGTGATGTTAAACATATAAATAACATATAAGGAAAATGAACAATTGATGTATGGAAATAAACAATTAATGTTGGTGAATGAGAGTTATGGTGATGTTATACTATTAATAAAAGTTGTAAATTCTGCATATTTAATTGTTTATTTTCATTTTTTCTATATAAGTTGTTTATGCGCCTAGTTTTATCAGGATAATAAAGTCATTTTAATCATCTCTTCAATTTCATTTTATTCCCCTATATTTGTAGTGAAATTTTAAAATTTTAGAAATTTTAATTAAAATTAAGTTCAGTCAAAAGATCTTTAATAAAATTTTTTCTTTTTTTTTCTTATTTTATGAATAAGAGTTACTCCTCGTATTTAATACAAGTCACAATTTTTTTTTTAATTCTAAATGCAAGTCATCGTGCAAAAAGTCATTATTATTAATTTTTTTTCACAAATATTTTTTAATTGTGTTTTTCCAAAAATGATACAAGAAAGAAATTAAATGCAATTAATATAGGTTATTTTAATTAGATGATAATCTTAAAAAAGTAATGATTATTTTTGACTTGACAATTTTAAGGATCTGAATTAATTAATTTTAACTATTTTTTTAATTCATATGAAATAGTTGAATTGCTCATATTAAGTGCAAAAGGCGGTAGCTGAAGTGTAATTTCTAGACCTTGGTCCTATTGTTTCTCACATTTATGTCAACAATCATTTTCTAGACCTTTGTCCTACTGTTTCTCACATTTATGTCAACGATCATTGTCTTAATTTTTCCAAGCATAAGACGGCGCAAACGACAGAACAGTAAAAGAAAGAGCAAATAAATATGCAACCTGGGCTATATTGATGCCTTTTTAATTTTTCAGTTAATGTTTTCATACAAAGTAATTTGTTTAATGTTTAACATTCTTTTTGTCGATATTGAATTAATTATTCAAAATATAATTAATTATGTAATTTGATTTGACAGCGATCAAACAGATCGAGTGGACTTACATGCGGGAATAAATCAATGCAGTTGGTAGGTAGAAGGAAGCACATGCTAAGGAAACGACGATGCCACCAGATTCGATACTGACCAGTTAAGATGTCTTCTCCCTCTCACTGCTCAAGGTAATTCTTGCTTACAGTTTCATAATCATACTTGACAATCTAGATTTTGTACGAGGTTATTGCTTACCAGGTTACTTCTGCAGGAATAGGTAAAATCCTTCATTATTTCTTCATTTTACTCTTAATTGATTTCAATTGCAGAAATTGACACTGCTCTTTTTGTGTTTTAAGCACAATAGTTGTTCATCATGGTTGTGTCTAGATTATATGTATTTTAAATTATGAAAATTTTATAATTAATTATAAAGTTATATATTTTTTAACAAAAATATAAAAGTTCTTAATTTCATAAAAAAAATGAAAGATTTTTAACCTTTACGAATTAACAAACGGAAAAACTTATATATTTAATATACTCTTGTCTAATTAAATAAAGACATGTTGACTTTGATGTGTTGATAATATTAATAACAATAATTTGTTATAGAATAAGTAATTTATAAAAGATACATGTCTTGATTTAAATGAAAATAAACACCTTAGGTATATAAGTTTTTTTTTAATGAAGGGTTTGATCAAACTAAATAAATTACAAGATCTAATTCAAAATTGATAAAAATTATAAGAACTTGTAAAGTTTTTTTTTCCTATTTTTTGATGTAACAAAACTTACAGTAAGATTAGTCTATTTGATAAAGATTTAACTCATACTACTTATAAGGTCATGATATCAAATCTCACTATTAATATGAAATTTTTATTGATGGGTAATCTATAAGTATTTTTACAAATACTCTTCAAGTTTAGAGACCAAACTCACCTGTTTTTTTTTTTTTTGTTATAAAAAAAATTATGGTAAGGTTAATTGGGAAAATATCTTCTTACGGATTTCAATAGCTGTTTATGTATATATATTGTGGGATAATGTATCTGATAGACTAGTCCGATCTTTCTTCTCCTTGCTTGACTTTTCTTATGATTGCCCGTCTTAATTACTTCACTGTTGTGCGTTTCTTATAAATCTTTCTGGCAAAAGAGAGATCTGATTTGACCTCGTCTTCTTCCCTGTGGTCTGTAGAAATGAAAGAAACAATAGTTCTGTATCCAGCTCCAAGTTTTGCTCACTTGGTCTCCATGGTTGAATTCGGAAAGCTTATCTTGCAGCATCAACCCCATTTGTCCATTGTCATCTTGGTCCCATCCATGCCTTCTGCTCATAATTCTTCTTCTTCATCATACATCAGTGATCTCTCTCTAGCTCGAATTCCCATCTCTTTCCTTTCTCTCCCTTCCCTCCAAGTTACAGTCTATGATTCTGTCGCTATGAATGCTCTCAATGTTCTTGATGCCCTAGAAACTTTATCTTCCTCCTTCACCATTTTGGCTCTCGTCACCTCAGCTCCTCATCAGAACTTGAACACCCACATCCCCATCTTCTGCTACTTCACTTCATGTGCTTCTGCTCTGGCTTTCTTCCTCTACTTACCCACCTTCCATAGCCAAACCACTAAAAGCTTCACAGATCTCAGAGAGACTCTCTTGGATTTTCCTGGTTTGCCTTCTCTCAGTGCTTCTAACGTCCCTGAACCTGTGCTGAACCGAGAAAGCCCCTCCTACCAATTTTTTCTGTGTTTTGCTTCTTCTCTACTGAAATCCAAGGGATTGATAGTGAACACCTTCAATTTTCTTGAACCACGCACTGTTCAAGCTATAACAGATGGTGATTGTGTCCCAAATGATCAAACCCCCCCAATTTTCTGCATTGGTCCATTGATTACGAGTGCTAAAGATCATGCTATTGCCCGCTCAACTTCTGATTATGATGAAGCATCCGATTGCATGGTATGGTTAGATAAGCAGCCTAGTGAAAGTGTTGTGTTCTTGTGTTTTGGAAGTAAGGGCGTGTTCTCTGAAGCTCAGATAAAAGAAATAGCTATTGGTTTAGAAAGGAGCCGCCACAGATTCTTGTGGGTAGTGAAAAGTCCTCAGGGTCTGAACACAGAACCCAAATTGGATGAACTGTTACCGCATGGTTTCCTAGAGAGAATCAAAGAGAAAGGTCTGGTTGTGAAATCATGGGCCCCACAGAATGCAATTCTCAGGCACGAATCAGTTGGTGGGTTCGTGACACACTGTGGTTGGAACTCAGCGTTGGAAGCAGTGAGCTATGGTGTGCCAATGGTGGCTTGGCCACTGTACGCAGAGCAGCATATGAACAGTGTGATTTTGGTGAAGGAGATGAAAGTGGCAATAGCAGCAAGGGATGGAAGCAGAGAAGGGCTGGTGAGTTCAGATGAGGTAGAGAGAAGAGTAAGGCAATTGATGGAAATGGAAGAAGGGAAAGTTATGAGATGCAGGATTTTGGAGATGAAAGCCATGGCCATCAAAGCTTGGTGTTCAGGTGGGTCCTCTTTAAATGCATTCATTGACTTGGTGAGCTCTTGGAAGCGTGGTTGACCAACTCATGCTTATCCTTCTCTGAATTTGTCCAACTTCATTTTATTTATTAATGATCAATCATCAAACGGTGCTTTGGGAGAAACCGAGAGAGAAAGTAGCACAATGAATTACCCATTTTGGACCTGTTTATCTTTCTGTTTAATTAGAACGTTCTTTTTCAAGAGTTATTTTGTTATTTTGTTTTTTAATGATACCTGAAACTATATTGTAATAAAGAACCCAAAACATTTAGTTCACATACATAGTTTGATTCTTTTTACCATCCACTATCTCAGCATCCACCACCGCCCTCTAATAGGATTGGGGTTGATCAAAAGCACAAAAACTTCCTATATTGTCTTAGACATACTAAGCAAGATTATAGACACAATAATTGGCATCTCTATACATAAAAGTTTGAAGAAACAAAGTTAATAGGATGTTTCTCGCATTAAGAATGTTTGAGACTCCAAAAATGTTATGCATTGAGTTAAAAGGATGTTGGAAATTCCAAAAATGCTATGCACCTCGTCTCGATGTTCTATTAGGCCATCTATTTCAGCTTATTTTATAAAAAAAATTATTTATTTATTTAAAAAAATCTATTATACAAGTTTTATAATGTTTATTTAAACTTTTAAAAATAATTGAAATAAATAAAAAAGCTTTTGAGTATTTTAAGTAACCATTTTGAGTAACTTTTGAAAATGATATGATCCAATAAATGAGAGATAATATTTTAAAAATGCGAGATACATAAAAATATCATAAAATTTTAAAATAATAAATTATTTTTATAGAAGAAAAATAAAAGAAGATATCATAATATTAAAAAATAATTAACTAATAATCACTATTTATTATTATAACAAACATAAAATAATGTTTGCGTTTTTATAAAATATTTATAAAATAATCTCTTTTCGTAAAATTTATAAACTATTTAAAAATAAATTATTTTTTTAATCTTAAATAAATGGGCCTTCAGTGTTGATTTTGATTCCCTTGAGCTTGTTGATCCCATAAAGAGTTGATGATGACTTTTTTTTTATCATTCAATATCATAACTTAAATAATCCAAACTTGCTATGCTCGTTTGAGATTATTATTATCAATATTGGCCTCACAGAAACTTCGAGATGCCTTTGACATATTTATTTAAAATGATTACAAAATGCATATCCTATGACTTGAACCCAAGACTCAATAATAAGCTAATTCAATTCCTTTAACCAATTTTGTGAAAAAATTGAATTATTATTTGAAAATCTAAACCAAAACTTGAAATTCAGAGCATTTTAATCTAATTTGGAATGCAAAATTTTTTTTCTTTCATTCCAATATTTTAGGTCTTTGACCCAAATACAAATTTCCATCATAATGATTAACACCATAATGTTAATCATTCCATATCAAAATTGAATCCAAGAGGTGTGAGCCCTTACTTATGAGATTTAGCTAATATAATTTATTATTAATTTTATATTATTTTAGTCTTAAAGACCAACAAAACAAGTACACTTACATAAAAAAAAATCATCAATCTATATAACATGCATTGTGAATTATTTAGAAATAAAAGAAAATACTAACCCAAGAAAAAACGAAGCCAATTACTTTAGAACAAGTATTGGAAAATCATTCATTTATACTAACTAAGGTTAACACGATTGGTAGGTATTCTTGTTATTGAAATATTTGTTTGGGGTTTGAATATCAAATATCAGTCCTTATATATGCAACAATTTAATTGGGAGAGATCTATCATTTACTCAATATCTTTTGGGGGGTAACTTTTATTGTTGGTGAAGTTTACTCCTTCCATCCCTAGAAAGAAATCATTCATTTGTGTTCTCCTAGTTTTGGGATTCGAGTTTGAAGCGCCATGCTCCTTAAGGATTTGCTAAGTGTGCCGAAGAAGTAAATCTTTGAGATGAGTAGTTAGATCAAATGATTGGATGAATTTTTAAGATTATTTACCACAATTTTCCTAGAGTACCAAAGTGAAGTAAGAAATTAAAAGTATGATGGAAGATGCTCTAGTTAAACTTTCATTATTGGTGTGTAAGAATGAGGAAAAGATAAAGTGAAAATAGTCTAGGAAAACCTAAATTATATTGACAAAGAGGGTCATGTTGGGAGAATTTGGAATGACATTAGGTGAAATTTTGAGTATTGAGTGAGGCAAGTTGAGTTAATTGTATTGATTGTGCATAATGTTGAGAGAATTTCAATTCATGCTCGTTATTTATTTATAAAAACTGAAAAAAAATCAAACTTTGGCACCAAAAGGAGCTAGTAACTATTTGCGTAGTTTGCTGATAGTGCACCTTATTGTGTAGAGAGGCATGGGTGAGTGCTCCGTTTACTTTCGCCAGCTCCCTAAACGCGGCGCTTCATTCAGTTTTGTCAAGGCCGGCTATCTGATGGGCTCATATCTTGTACAATTTATATTGGGCCTCGCCCAATTCCTCCCTCAAGCCCAGTGCACCAAAACCAGTCCAAACAATTTGGGAGTGGTTATAATTTCTAATGTCATCAAACATGAGATAGAATTTTGGGAGGATCGATATTATGATTATATTTATAACCAAAATTTGTTTTTCTAATGATAGGTAAGTATAACGTTAAAAAATTATACGAAATCCAAGAGGTGTAAAATTTTAAACGTGTTAATCCATTTTTCTATAAATTTTAAAAGTGTTTTTGTTTTGCAAAAATTAATCATTCATTATTAATTTTAACTTGAGACTAATACATTTAATCGACAAATTATAAAGGCATGATTGAAATAAAATAAATTAAAGGGCCAGATATCAAAAAGTTGGACAGAGAATAAGATCAAAGAGCTTAAACAATTAACTAACGATTGGAATATGTTAAAAGTAATTTATAACTAAGATTAAAGAATGAGTACATGTTAAAAGGAAAATAAATCAAATTTGTCATGCGGAGTATTCAATCAAGTCATTACAAAAAAAAAATAATTCAAATCAATTTATTATAGATTATATGAGTATAAATTATTGAATGAATTTATGCATTGCACCGGGGTTTTTTCTTAGATTTGTATAATATTTTCTTTTATATTTTATGCATGTGATGGTTTAAGAAACTATGTTTTAAATTAATTTAAAATTGAGAGAAATTAATTTTCTCTAACTTATAATATCATAAAACAATCTTTTTTTCGAGGGTATAACGTTAGTAATTATATGAAATCCAATTGACGTGTAAGGAAAAATTGAACGGTGTACATTATTTCCACGAGTAGGGGTGTTCAGTCCGAACCCGTCCCGATTGGCCCGGTATCGTCCCGATCATATCGGGATGGGTCTTGTCCCGGCCTGAAACTAATCGGGACGGGACTTTACGGGACGGGACAGGAAAGAGGTTCGGGACGGGACGGGACACGGGATTACCATCGGGACGTCCCGTCCCGTCCCGAATATTATATATATTATTTTTTATTTTAAATATATTAATTATATTATATAATTTATACTTATATTAATTATATCAATTATAATTTTAATACTTACAATTCTTATTTAAAACTAAAGTTTTTTTATATTGATAATTTTAATGGCATGGAGTAAACATGGCGATATCTTTTTTTATAATATATTAATTATATTAATATAATTTATTTTTATATATATCTATTTAATAACTTTTATTTACAACGTATTTTTTGCTTATTTTTAGAAGAGTAATTAGCTTAGTACATCTTCACTAAAGTAGAATAACAATGATTTGATATTATGTTTGACTTGTCTGTTGTTACTAATCTTATAGTGTAAAGATCATTTGTGTTTATTATTATAATGTGTAGTTATGATTAATATAATTCAATAATTGATTTTAAATTATTATTATTTATGTACTTGTGTTGTTTTGATTTTAAACTTAATAAATTATATGATTTAAAATTTTAATGAATGTTATTATCCAGATCTTTTTTCGATATTATTTCATTTATCGGGACGGCGGGACGTCCCGATCTTGTCCCGGTCCCGTCCCGACTCTTAACGGGACGGGACGACTTTCGGGACGGGACGGGACACGGGACTAAAATTCAGTCCCGATCTTTTTCTCGGGACGGGACACGGGATGGGGGTGTCCCGGTCCCGTCCCGTCCCGTGAACACCCCTATCCACGAGAACCCAACCTCGGCCTTTGATTCTAATCATCTAAACCTGCGAAGTATTGCGGAATAACCGAGATAGATAACACGCTTCACAATATAATGCCACGTGGATTCACTCTGCGTCTCAGAGTTTTTCTCACATATACCCACACAGCCATCGGCCCATCGCAAAAACCATTATCTCTAGCAGCAGCTAGCAGCACCAGCCTCCACAGCTCGTCCAGACCACAATGGCAACCTCCACCACCGGCGCCGTCGTAAGCAGCTCCTTTCTCGGGAGACGCCCTACCACAAGCCTCTGGTCTGCACCTAAGCTTCAGGCCGTGTTTGGCGTTGGAACAAAGAGCAGCCGCCGTGGCATCCGAGGGCGCGTGACGTGCATGGCGGCGTTCAAAGTGAAGCTGCTAACGCCAGAAGGCCCAAAGGAATTCGAATGCCCTGATGACGTTTACATTCTGGACCAAGCCGAGGAGGCCGGAATCGATCTTCCGTTCTCGTGCAGAGCAGGTTCGTGCTCGTCGTGCGCCGGGAAGGTTGTGGAAGGTGAGTTAGACCAGTCCGATCAAAGCTTCCTGGACGATGACCAGATTGATGGAGGCTGGGTTCTTACTTGCGCGGCTTACCCTCGATCTGATGTTGTGATTGAGACCCACAAGGAGGAGGACCTCGTTGGTTAAGCATTGTTCATGTTTGTATGACTACGAATCATGAATGAATATATATATTGTATTGAAATGTTGTCTTGTTTTGTCGCTTTGATTAAGAATTTTCTTGTAGTTTAATTTCTCTCTCTGAGTGAGTCTGGATGATCAACGATTCATGTTATAATAAATCTGCTTTACTTGTTTTTATATGAGCTCATTTTTCACAGGATTATTGAGGAATTCCATCATTATACACATATATATATATATCATCCGGTGATTTCAATGATGTCACGATTAACTGTGAAATTTAACTTTGAATTATGGTTGAACGAAATTCAAAACTCTTGTATACATAAAGAATGCTATTATGTTAAGTTCGGATTTAAGGGAATTAGACTTGAACCAAATCCATATTTTATTATAATTTCTTTACAATTTTAAATCTCCTATATTCTAGTTATTTGAGGATTGAAATGTTGGCCATTCTAATCTTTTCATTCTCGTTCTATTTTCATTTCTTATTTTCCTTTTTTGTTGTCTTAAAATTTAAATTTTTTACATTATCCAAGTAAAAGATTTTAAATATAAGAATTTGAAATTTGAAATTTACTGATCCACACTCTGCCTCGAGTTTTTCTAGCTAGTACCCGCGGAGGATTGCTGCGAGTGCAATAAATATCTCGTGGGAAAAAGGCACGTTTCATGTAAGGCAATGAAGTGTATTGAATTGAACCTGTGTTAAACTTAATGACTAATGAGCCACGTTCATGTCAGATATATCTATTTCCTTCTGCAGTTTAACATGTTTTATATAAAAACTATTTCTATAATTGCTACATTCCCATGAAACTTGCCATTCGTTCTCGAGGTAGTAGAACTGAAATAGGAGTGTTTACAGTTCTGTAAACCAAACACAGCCCAGAGTTACTAATCCACGCAAAGGGGCTAGTTCTGGTCATTTTGATCATGCAATTTATTACCTGTGTCGACGTACCAAAGCTCCCCTACAAGGTTTCAACATTATCTTTTAATTTATCATAACATTTCAATCCACACATGAATTAAAACTGGCCAACCTCCTCTTTGTTCCTTTATGTTTTTTCATTAGTAATCATTTCAAGAATCAAAGAATGTGGAGGGAAAGAAGATGGAAGCATACAGCTTTACTTATTTAAACTATAAACCAATAAGTTAAATATTCATGGGGAATGGATACAGCAGCGTAGCGTCGACTAATAATTCCTATAGCAGCCGTGTAGGTTTCCCAAGTCACGAAACCCAAATGGCAATGCTTACAACAAAACTTAACTTTCTATAAACACAGGCATTTTGTTACAATTTTACTATACATTTCTCCTTTTCTCTTTCTTTTCCATCCACAAATAACGCTGTGCTTAAACTTGACTTGGTAAAATCAACACTTGATCTCCAAGTAGTGCATGATGGACAGAAGTGATGTTCATATACGAACAAAACCAGACTCCATTGCCTTTTAATGGCGAGGGGGGTTCGTTCACCGAAACAAGGGCAATATTCCCCACTGGTGCAGAAACCCCTCACCGGTAGTGACTTCTAGAAACAACAGAAGAAGCACGGCCAGCATCGCTGCTCTTCCATTCCATGTTTCAGCACTTTTTGTCCAGCCCCATTCCCAAACCATTACCGGTGGGGGAAGCTCCCGGCGTTGAGAGTCATATGCTGCCAATAACTCTTCCACACTTCCCAGTGGAACCAAAGACTGCCAAAGAAACCAGATTTTCAATTACATACAAGTATAATGCATGCATGCAACTCACAATTTGATAATGTCAAGATCATTCTACTTGATTGAAAAGATACATAGTAAAGGAGAAGTGAAATGGCTACCTGCCGCGCTTCAAGATTTGAAACTGCCATGGCACCAACATATGGGAGAGACTCAATTACAGCATCTGCCAAATCTGAAATGAAGGTGGGTTCACATCCTAGAGCAGGAACACGACCCCAGTTTTTTATACCAGATTCTAGAGCCAATTCTTTGTATTCGACATCAATTTCTTCTAGTGTTTCAATATGCTCACTGACAAAGCTGTGAATCAAGCACATAAATGACAGAACAGTATGAGATGAAGAAAGAAGCCAGAAAGTATAAAGATAGGAGCAAGGTAATATCACAAAAACGGAAGGCTAATATTACCTAATTGGCACAGCCAGCAGACTTTTCACTCCCTTCTTTCCAAGATCAATTATCGTCTCATCCGTATAAGGTTTCAACCATTCCACTGGTCCAACTCTACTCTGTAACAATGATTACACTAGAATCTCAGAGTCACAAATCATGCTTTGAGGGTAGGATGACAAAGCTAGGTCTACAAATAGACTACTCAGGAAAAGATAAAACAATCTACACCACCACTTTGACTTGGTTGAGAATTTAACGTTATGCAAGAAAGCTGCCCTGAGTAGTATTTGAAGGGTCCTGAGATTTTTCTCAAAAGGTAGTCAGGTAGACTACTCGCAAAGAGCTTTCCACATGTGACTAAATCATGCTAACAGCTAGAAAATAATGGCCCAAGATTGCTCATTCTGAAAATAGCTTTCAATTCGTGAGTCCAGTTGAGGACTACAAACTAGCAACATAAAGCATAACAAGAAACAATAAGTATTTAGATTAACTCTTTGCTCTCGAAATTTTAAACGCTAGCAAAATTCCCGTTCTTATAGTTAGAATTTCCATACCATATTTCATATATTTAGATAAATACAGGCCAGGAAGCATGCAACGTTTCATAGCATAAACCAATACTGCCTATTGGTTTATATGAAATAAGACCTACAAGAGATCGAATGACCCATGACCCAAGGTACCTGATACGCGAGGGTGTAGGAATTAGTTATGTTCCTTTTCTCTAGTTCTTCCATAATCAAATCCACACATTCCTCCATCTCTGCCTTGTATGGGTCACCAGCCTCTTCCACATATGCAAGTGGAACTCCATGCGCACTAAAGAATATCACCACCTGTTATCAGAATTTCAATTACTAAGGATAACAGGGATACAGGCAGACAATCAAATGACTCCCAAGCACAAGCACAAGCATAACAAGAATTCCTCAGGAAAAACTTACGACGACGAGTAAGGAAATAAGAGAACAACCATATTTTGTTGATAGGCACAATTTTTTCTCATAAAAAACCAACCAAAAAGGTTAGCATATTGCATTTCAGAATATCTCGAACACCTCAAAAGGCCATGTTACAATTCGTACTGTTATCAGCTACCAGTGTCCAGTATGGCTGTTATGAGTTACTAGTACGGCTGTTATTTTAACCAGAAATAGACAAGGCATTTTAACTACATAAATTAGGATGTCATTATGTCAATAAAATATGAGAATGCTAACAGGAAAAAAATCACTATACCCAGACATAACTGAGATGTTGGCTACATAAATTATGCTGTCATTATTTCAGTAATATCAGAATGCTAACAGAAAATAGAACACAGCTCACCCAGGCATAACTACGATGTTGACTACATAAATTACGCTGTCAATATTTCAACAAAATATGACAATGCTAACAGAAAAAATACCACAGAACATAGTCCTTTCATCTGAATCACTAAATCATAAAAGATACAGTACCTCCTTAGGGTTGTCAAAACTATTTAACTCGTTTTCAATCAAATTTGCCATGGCCTTTATGTATCCTTCACGCTGGTACCATGAAGGAATTACAGTGTGCTGCATGTTGACTAGATACTCATCCTCACTGAAGAATAGTTTAATATTTAATAATTTACAATTATAACAGAATGTCAGTCTATATCTTTGGTGTATCATGATGTGATAACAAATTTTCTAGTGGTTACCGGAATATACTCTCCAGAAGACGTAAGCTCGAACCGCTGGTTGATATTGAAAATTGTGGATAAAGTGGAAGAACAACAAGCTTTGTAATTCCATCCCTTTTAATCTACACAGTATATTTTGAAGGGGGGGAATACTATAATCAAACAGAAATGAAATCCCAAAAAGAAAAGTACAAATAAAATTGTGTTGGTTACTTTGGCAAAGTAGAATAGGACTTCATATTATTTTGAACTAGATTGAATCATTCTGAAAAATAATTAAGCATAGAACTCAGATATAAGGTATCAACAAAGGAATATCAATATGGCGAAAAGCAATAGCTGCATCAAAGCCATCAAAGTTTATATATACCTAATGTTCAACCAGTTAATATTTGAGTTAAAACTTAAGAGTATATCAAGCAACATGTGATGACATCATATGTAAAAAATTTTACGGGCTTTCCCTTTAAAAGATGAATCTTGCAGCAACAAGTTTTAACTTAGATATATAACAATAAAAAGGTAGAAGATTCAAAAGTAGCAAACATTCAATAAAATGTTGTTCAGTGTTTATTTTGTCATCTAAAATCAAGTTAACCAATACCTGTTCAATAGCTTCTTCAGTGAATGGATGCCAGTAACGCATGCCAACATAAACCTTTGCAGGAACATTTTTTGCCCAAAGAGATTTTCTCAACTCTTCAGCCTGCGGAAGATAGCATTAAACACGTAGATAATGTTCAATTTCATTGGTAAGGATTTGAACATCGTTCTCTCCACAGATTGGTTAAAAATTCAAAAGTTTACTTGAAATGGCAGGAAAGAATTAATTGAAATATAGATGAGATTACAAAAAAAAAAAAAAAAAATTGAAAGTACACAAATCAACAATTTTAAATTTTTCATGAGAGAAGTGATTCAGCCTCAATAATAAATGCACATAAGAAAGCTTAACTTCAACAGTGAGGAGCTTGGAGAATAAAAGTTCAAAGCTGACTTCTTTAGTAAGCTCTACAATTCTTCACCATCAACTATTGTGCTTGTGTATCACTTTATAAATTATTAATACTTTGAAAACTGAAGAAAGATCAGCCACATACATTAGGCATATGAACAATCTTACCAACATATATAGTTCACTCATTGATAAACTGAAATTTCAAGTTCTCCAGACTCCAATGCAGCATTTGACAAGTTCAGAGTAAAGCAATAGTAATTACTAATTACTTTTACTAATTAAGATGAAAATCATGTTTTCTGAGTGCCATGCCTGTGCATCAGTTATACGTCTAAGAGGAGAGCCACCACCAATTGAAGCATAGCCTTCTTTGCTCTTTGGTGCTCTTAAAACAGACACAAATTGGGCCAACGGCTTTTGAAGGAAACCAAACAACCTTGGCAACCGTATAATATCCTACATAATAATGAATAAGAAATAGAAAATTTTAGATTAATATCAATTTAAAGAGGTTGAATATTATTTTATAAAAAAGGGAGTTCAGCCTAGATGTCTTGTGCATGAAAGATAGAATATTACTGGGTCAGCAAAAAGGTTGAACAAAAATGGCTGCACGTCTTCAAGAGTCTCTGGACCTCCAAGGTTTAGCAATAGTACACCAATCTTATCGTCGCCAACAAGAGGTGTACCAGAAACAGTTTGAGTTGTTGAAGTTGATAAAGCTCCCGCTGGCAACAAGTGCTTGTTGATTGATTGCTTGGAAAAAAAAGCTTGTGCGCCAGACCATCCATGAGAACATCTGGTCATTATGTAATTTTTTGAGGGGCTAGCGTTAATAGGAGCCTCCATATGGGCCCTAGAACAGCGATACATCTTTTGGGAAGTACGGATTGCCTGTGGCAACAACCTGTGGAAAAATGAATATTAAGACCTTGAGAATATTTTATTGATCTTGAGATTTGATAGTAAAATATTTGACATAGAAATTTACTAAATGAAGTTAAAAGAGTGCTTCTGGCGATAAGATTGAACCAAACTAGTGAAATACCAGGAACAATGAACTGAGGGGGTTATAACTAACAACACAAAAATATTGGGAAAAACAGGAAAGCAATAATAATTGAGCTTGAATGAATAGTGGGAAGCAAATCATCAATCTAATTTTCGAACAAAACTATAGCATTGAAGAAGACAGACAAAATCTTCTATAGAAATTGGCAGTAAATTGCATAGCATTGTGGTACAGAAAATCCGCCAATCGTCAACAACATTAATTCCAATAGAAAACGTGCAGCTTGACGGAGAAGCACTAAATCTCAGTAGTTAAAACATGAAAAAGCCAGCACTAACATTTCAAAATTAAGATCAGAAGATCCCGTCAGTTGGTAATAGTCAAAAGAATATACTCATTCCCTACAAAATACATGACAAGAACTAAGGAAATGACAACGCACAAACAAGTGGGAACCATCTAGCTTATGAATATAAAATTCCTAACTTCTTAATATAAATTTCCGGCGCCAAAAGGAATACTTACAGAGGAAACTTGCAATTACGAGAAGCATGAGTGAGGAATGGAGGAGGACGAAACGCATACGAGGAAGAAGAAGAGGAAGATGAAGGGGGATGGGTTGGAGAGTTCATAGCTTGAAATAACTTCGTGAATCAACGCAACCAAGCAGCAACACTGAGGTTTCTTCGCTTACTGCTTTGTTTGAAGCCCTAAACCAGGGGGAAAAGTCTCGACAGGAAAATTAAATTCCAAACTAAAAAATAAATAACGAGAAAATTTTAGGAAAACAAGAAGAACTTCACCTAACACTGATGACTAGGAATTACAACGAGCTCCTACTGAGCAGAAGGTGAACTCTGAATGGAAGTTAGTAAAATTTAGTAGGACGTACGCTAAAAACAATTTCTTTCTCTCTGTTCGGTCTATTTTAAAAATCGTAGTTTGAGGCAATTGTAGAAATTTTAGCAAAAATCGAGATTCTTCAGAAACCCAAAGGAAATTTAGTGCAGGGTTGAGATTGAAAGCGACGGATCAGATTGAAATAAATATAGACCACCTCTTCCTGTTTGTTTATCTACTCTCACGTTTTTTTACCGCCTCCCATTTTTCAGGAATTTCCTTTTTTATCCATTTTGCATTATCCAAAATCATAGGAATTTTTCTACGGTCAGCTGGGAAAAGTCTTTTTCCTTATCAAAATTATAGGACTATAAAATAATTTTTGAAATGGAAGAAAATAACATGATGTTATTATTAAAACAACTTTATGGAGCACATGAGATGACAAATTCTAGAAAAAATATGTGCATTAGTAATAATATATCATTAAATGGTAAAGAATTATAAGTTTTTATTACAACTACTCACATTTTTATGTAATATGATATCAACATTATTTAAGTTTAGAGAAAATAGCAATCAATGACCTCTATATAAAATTTATATCAATTAAGAATCATTTGTTATCAAAACTCGAAAAAAAAACAAATCTGAATGGATTGTTGTTAATTTAAAATGAATTATTATAAAACCCGAATGAATACTTGTTGATAAAAGACTAATTTAAATTAACAAGTATCCATTTAAATTTTGACAATAACTAATCCTTAATTAATATAAATTTCATACATAAGTTCTTAATTGCTATTTTTCTTTAAGTTTATGTAGTTAGCAACTTAGTATCACACTAAAATAGCCCTTTCTAACGTTAATGTAATTTTTTTCTTGAATACAAAATAAATAAAAGAACCAAAAATAGCTTGTAAGAAAACCTACTAAATAACCCTCTTATCATCATCCACTGCCTTCAAACAATAAGGCAGGGGTTGATTAAAAAATTAAAACTTACATAATACATTCAAAGCAAACTTGGCCAAAAAGTGAGTGCAAGACTTTGCCCTTTTAAATATAAGATTCAAAGATAAATTTTAGTCTCTATAGAAGAGAGAATGAGCCTGTATAATAATGTTTACATGTGGATGAAATTCCTAATTTTATGAGGAGAAGGTTCAGCACATCTACACAATCATTAATGAAATATTTAAAAAATATTTAGTTTACCAAAAATAATTTCAATGCATTTTTAGTTTTAAAATTATTTAAAAAAATTTAGTTATGTGAAATTATTTATGTAGTAATTTGTTTACATTTTAACTTCATAGATTGGGTTAAATGATATTTTAAATATAGATGCAAAAGAAATTTGATAAATTATGAATTTAATATAATAAGGATAAATTAATCAATATAACACATGTTTAATTTAGTTTAAATTTTATTGCTTCTAATATAATATTTTAAAAAAATATTTATCTAAATATTAGCATACTTAATTATTTAAAATTTGTTAGATTGGAGAGAGATTAGATAATGATGCGAGATGGTAAATTTAACTTTTTTTTATACAATTTCAATTAATAAAATTAAGTATTTTAGAGGTTTCAATGAAATAATAGTAAAAGTGTTAACAATTGAAGTAATGTGTATGTTTGAAAACAAGAAAAAGTCTATATTATTTATTTTGTTTAGAGTTAGTAAAAGTGCTACCCCAACTCTTTTAAGTTCGTATCCATAAGTTCGGTTTGATAGTTTTTTTGAAGTTGATCATTTTGTAAGATCAACTTTTATTTAAAAGATTCAAAGATTACTTCTAACAAGAAAATACTAGTGCACAATTAAAAAAAAAAGGCTCAAAGTTGGGGCCACTAGCCTGTTCTTCAAAAAAATTAAAATAAAATTCAACATTATGAAATTATAAATTAATTAAAGTATTCTAAAATTTAAAATAAATCAAACAAATCCAAATCCTTATAATATTTTAGAAAATAAATAAAACATATTTTCTAAATTTAAAATGAACATAAAAATCTTCATTAATCCAAATTTCCCTAGTCTTCATCTGAAAATAAAAGGTTGTGGTCCTCAAAAGTGAGTCTATTACTCTATTAGTTGACGGTGCTGTCATCATTTGTGAGTGGCGCCATTATGTATAAAAGTGAAGTAAACTAATCTTATGTGCACGGTCTTATCAATCACTCCCTTTATTCTTACTAGTTTTTCATCATTTTAACCGTCTTCAGTATTAATGATAAGCTCAAAAAGGACTCAAGTTTTATGATATCTTTTTAATTAGCAAGCTACTTTGTTCATATAGGGAGGGAAAGAGATTATAGAGGCAATGGTCAAGTATCTAACATTAATGGGGCTAAAACCGAATTTACAGGTAATGACCTTTATAAATCCATCCCTCACTGTTAAGAAATCAGCATTTACCTCAATTATCCTCATCCCAATTTAGCTAAATTAAATGATTTACTCTCTAAGTTGTATGTTTCAATATTATTTTTTTAAAAAGCTTAGGAAGCTGCTCAAGCCCAAACTCATTTTTATAAGGCAGGTTTAAAAGTCTAATTACATAAAAAAATCTTAATTTTTAAGCCTGAACCTTTATAAAATTAAACAAATTTAAATGGATGATCAGTATTTTGTACTCTAATTTTTACTCTATAAAAAATTATAACTAACTTATTTACCAAACAACTGGAGTTTGACTTGCTCAAATTTGTGAAAAGTTACATAAAGAAGTGTTTATTATAAATATGTGTTATATTTTTAAAAACCATGGTAATAAAATATATGATGTATTCTAACATTGTTCTAATTTATATCAATAATGAATTAAACAAACAATATAAAATCATAAAAACTTTATTATGAATTGTATGAATAAAATAGCAAAGTAACAGTTCGGCTTTTAATTAAAGATATCAAGAATTATTAATCATGTTGAGGGAGATATCACACATGACTATATTTCGAATAAAATTATCTTCAATAAAAAAAGATATATATGCACAATAAAAAAAATTCAAAAACTGGCATAAATTAAGTTGCAAGAAATGTTGAAATGAGGGAAGAATTTTTATTGTATTGTTGATCTAATTCTAACTTACAATCAGTATAGCGCCAGGATTAGGGACAATTTTTGGGATAAAAATAATGGGTTGAATTTCTTACAACCGTTTTATATGAGGCCTCTTATATTTTTAGGATAAATGTTGAACAATCATTGTAATTATGAACCAATTGTCGATTAGGATGAATTTCTTACAATCGTTTTATATGAGGCATCTTATATTTGCAGATTTGTAGTAGTGATTTAACAAAAATATCTGCTCTCACTGAATTATTATTTGGCCTCCCATTAGCATTGTTTCCAGACAGGACAAATATTGATACATGCATATTTTAAAGAATGCAGTATTTGCATTATATGCTATATAATTAAAATAATACTGTGAATTGCATTCCACCTTTTGCAAAATAACAAAACATAGGTCTACTGGCTTGCGTTCATTACAATTCATCCTATAATCAAATCTCAGCGTTTAAATTTTAGCATAAATATAATTATAACTCATTACATTTAAGTAAACAATGTAGTGAAAAAGAAAAGGCTAGGTGTTGAGATTTGATTAGAAAATTGATTTTAATGGAGCTAAGCTAATGATGAAGGGAGAAAGGAAAAACTTAAGCTTGAAGGATTTGATTTACCAATTCTTCAATCAAACATTAACAATTGAGTAATTTTTTCCCCACTTCATTATTTTTTTTAAATATAACGAGTTCTATTTATACTTATAATTATCATATTCAAGTGTTTCAAATTTGATTGGAGGAAAGTCAATAGTAAAAGCATGATACATGTATATTGAACCATGCGTGGCACGAGAAGAGGAATTTTCTGAGGACATATTAAAAGCATGATTTTCTTTTCTTTTCTTTTTTTTTTTGCAAATCATGATTTTATTATTATCATTTGTTGATTTAATTATAAAAAATTCAATATGAAAAGCATGATTCTATTATGCACACACATATTATTAAATTTTTTATGTAAATGATATTTAAAAGGGCCTTTCTAATTCTTTTATAGATTATATATTGAATTCATTATTATTATTTGTTCATGTTTTTAGGATAATTTGATACTAACTTAGCCAACAATAACAACAATAATGAAACAATAAAATAAAATAAAAGATATGACACCATGCATACAAGAATAATTTGTGTTCTTATTAGTTGTGTATGATTTTATTATAAAATAAAGTGAACTCTCGTGTTATATAAAATGGGAAGAACATTCTGCGTTATTTATTATTCTAAATAATATAATTTATTATAAATTTTATAAGTAATATTGATAATAATAAGATAAGTATATTCCTTTTTTTCGTTAATACTATATTCTGTCTTGAATAAACATTTTTTATTTTTATTTTCATAACTATAATTAACATGAATTCCCTATTGTGAGGATTTGAAACTATTCATGAACGTTTAAAGCTTTTTTTTTTCATTAGAAAGTTCATCTCAACAATAATTTAATACTTTGTCACTAAACTAATAATATCAATAATATGTTAGTATTTTTAATATCATTTGTGTCACATTGACATTCTTATGAAAATATGACCAATGTTGCAGACCGAACAAGGAAAAAAAACAGAGAGAGAGAGGCTTGGAACAGTAATCACGCAAATTATAAAAATCAAATGTTATGTTTTCCTTTCCAGAACTTTTAAGACATTGTTTGCCAATTATCCATGGAGGTTGTGTTGGGCTAAAAGAGGGGAAAGCACAACGCAACTGTCATTATTTGGGTTGAAGTTATTAAATCTGGTCCAATGAAATGGGCCAGCCCAACTACCGTTATCTAATCAAGGAATAGAGAGAAATTACAAAAAAGGACCAGTAGAAAATAATATTTATAGAAGTGGATTTTAAAAATAACTATTAAGAAATACCAAATATTAAAATATAAAATTAGCTCTAATCAAATACCCTGTATTTTTTATAAGAGTAAATTGGCCCAATGGCCTTAAAAAACATATTAACAAAAAATTATAGGAGAAGTTTTTAAAAATTTTGGAATGTGGCCCATTTATAATCAAT